GGGGGGGGGGGGGGGAGTGATCGAAACTGGCTCCAAATACCCGAGTACAACGGCGACAGAAAAGCTATGGAAAAAGAAAGTCAACACACATACTCGTGTGCAGTTTAGGTTCAACTGGTTACGCATGAATCCCATTTGTGAACGAGTCTGGTGCCAACACAGAGAGCGGAAGGGAACACAGTAAAAACACCGAAAAAAAATTCTGCATGAATCACGTAGTAACGAGCTATCGTTAGGAGAGAAAAAACCGCATAGAACAATGGTATGTGTCATCTAGGTGGTTTCTAATGCGCTGGAATGAATAAGAGCGAAGGCGTGGCGAGAGAGAGAGAGATGGGGATGGAACGAACGAACGAAAGACAGAATGCAAATAGTTCTATCGTATACCTAAGTGCATACTGGATACGAAGGGTATACAATGGCAACTCGACTAATCTATGATAAGGAGTCTAGGTTCAATGAAGCCTACGCCACACACACACACACCCGCACAAATTCTGCGTGAGAACAGGAAAAAGAGATATGACATCACGACAGGGATGAGAAATTGAGTCACGTTCAACCACATTGGTAAGCACATGAATAGAAAGGAATATTGATAAAAACAAAAACAAATTGTTCAGTGGAAACAGCATATGCAGAACATATAGGGAGATGCCAACCACTATGCAGTAACACAAAACCATGACTGTAGAATTTGTTCCGAATGCTGATCAAGCCCGTAATAAACAATGACACATAACACAACTGCCGTTGTGAAGGGACTCAGGCTCCTATGCCGGCAAAAATGCAAAAATAAAAACCTACTCCAATGTGTGAATCACTAGAGGATCGGTGCGCTTCACACGCGAATAAAAAACATAATCACGAAAGCATGCACATGTAAAACCCCACCTTGTTGAGACACCGGTGGAGCAGTGGCCGGTGGATCTTCTGGACGACCGGCAAAAGTGGAGTAATCTAAATCGCATGATTGGAACGCAGTGGCACGAGTTCCGGCTGCTGTAGGACCTCCGGGACCCATAACGCTACAGGTGTTCGATTGCAAGTAGGGAGCATCCACGGAGAAGATTAACTCTTCGCGATCACCGGCAGAAGCACCGTACAGCAAAATGCCGAAACAGTGATGATGACTAAATAGTGCGGAATAGGTAAAACAATAAGGCGGTACACTGGATGAATGAAGTTGGACAATGAAAACTGTGAGTGTATTTAAATACAACAGCACTACGTGTTGAGGTTCTGTTCTGTGGCGTTGTCAGTCGTTTGACTACGAGCTCCTTAAAGTAAATCGAATGTGGGATCTAATAATCAAACTCGTCGGAAGTTAACGATGGCCAGCATAATTTCGGGTCGCATTACACAAACAAACTTCATATAAAGTTCCCTATTTCCAGCTACATTTTAATGATCCGCTTTCAAAGGTCCAATTTCATTTGAAATGAAAAAACGTGGCTTTATTGAATTTAAATGCAATTTAAAAACCTTCAAAAGTGCCTAATGCCTGCAAATGATCGAATGGACTAAACCAAACATGGTATTATGAACTTCTGTAGGTCATTTAATTAAATTATCCAAAGACGATCAAAATTATATATAATTCAATACAGCAGTGTTGGTACGGAGCAAGTATTAGAGGATTTGATTAAATTTTAAATGGGAATTCGTCGTGTATATACCAAAAGAACGTTGAACTGAAAAGCTAGGAAGCACTGGACAGCTGTTTCGAACTGGTTGTGCTATATCGTGTAAATGGAAAATGAAAAACGTACAGTGATAGACGCCATATCTTCACGAATGCATTAGTAACGTGCTCGGACTAGGTGAGATCTTGAAAAATGATTGTTTCGAAAGGTTTAACTAATCGAAATTTTTAGGAACTTTGTTCTTCTGAACTTATAGAACATTAACCTTCGATAAATAAGAGAGAGAAAAACAGTACATATACGTATATGTATGATTTATCGGTTTTTATCTGATGAACTAAGCTGCTGAAGCAGAACAATCGGTTTTATGCACCACAGCGTAGGAAACACTTACTCGAACATCAATCGGTGGACCGGGAAGAAGTCACATTTGGATAAATCGTAGTGCTCGGTTTTGCGTTTCTCGCCATCTTTCAGGGTGAGAATACCTTGTTTCCGGTCGATCTGCGCGTAGAACACTTTCCACTTTTTTCGTTGATGGCTCACTGACAAGTTGGAAAGAGAGCGGGGCGCGGGAAGCAGAAGGGATCAACGGTGAACAACGGGTTCCCTGATTGACATGTGAATTTAAATGCAAATCGGCTCTAGTTGATCTGGTGTTTGAGAACAGGCTGATCTAAAGCTGGACTGACAGATCGTTTCCCTGAAACGCGTGCTTAACCGGTCTGAGTTAGAAAAGAGAAACCTTGACGAGTTGGTGAAAACTCAACGATGAGCGGTATTACCATAGTGCAAAAGAAACAGAGATATTAATAATATTATACATAATATGATTAAACAGTAAATCAGCAAGTTTGTCTACCAATGCGCTCCTCCAGCAACATGCATTTCAGATTGCTACACAACCAATTCAAATATTAGGATACATCTTTTACAACTATCGAAAGCGTTCTGGTTGGTGAGGGGATTGTTATTCTACCTGTGCGTAATACGCACCAATAATTGCGATACATTATTTAATGGAGAAGGTTGATCCATTGGACAAGCCGGTATTGATCAAAATCACAAACAAGGCACGCGCACGTCCCATTATGCACTGGGGCAATTCTCAACCGTCGAGCAAGACAATGTCCACCGAACGTTAGTGCCTATTCTTCAACTGTTTCAGCCGAACACAGGTGAGTGACACTACTCTCTTACACTGACTCCACTGGGTAAGATAAATACCTTAATCGATCACTTTTGGATTAGGTTATACTAATTTATCACCACGATGTTTAGCTGCAGACCTTACCTCTAATTTACCTTATTTGAGTGAACAAATAGTGATACATCTTCGGGAAGGAGGAAGCGTCCGATTGAAAGGCTAAAAGCGGCACATAGAAACCAGAGCAATTTAGTTTGCGGTTGTGGTGGGATTCAAATACGCAACCTTTGGGATGACAAGATTGTAAGCCGGGTGAAACTTGTCACTTTCATGGTTCCGGAAAGTCTCGGGGGACCTTTACTCAACATTTTCATTTCCATTCAATGTTCGCTCTTCAGTGAAAACAAAATCTTTCCCTGCAAACAGTGAACATGATTGCGCATGAACCAAAATACAATCTACAGTTGCATGTCCGGATTTGTAAATTTCCACTGCACCATTCGATTTTGCGACATCATACTTCAACAACTGCAGTTGCATTCCAATGGACAAACAGTCAAAAGTCGCCGAAAATTTATGAGTTACAATTCGATCTGGTCAACGAAATGGAAGTCGCAAATCTTGCACAGTATGTTCAAAAGTAACTTCGAATGCGGTCCGCATAAGACAAAACGTAAAGTGAGCTTCATTCAACTCTTGTCAGACAGCGTAGCTACCGGCTGGGAATTCATTATCGACATTAAGAGAACCTAATGTAGCATAAGCAGAAATCGACAAGTAACAGTATGAGAGCAAGGCTTACACATGGACAATTTCCCATGAATTTCCAACGCTGCACTCCGGGATGCGGGTGGACGAGCACAGCGCAATGCCATATAGATCGCTGAGGACGGCGGAGTTGGTTGAGACTATCGTGGAACGAGAGAGAGAGAGAGAAAATGGCAAAATATCTCAAATGTGAGCGGGAATAAGTGCATTACTATCGGTTTGTATAAACATTATAAATGGACGAGAAACCGAAATTACATTGCGGAACCAGAGGATACAGAATAAGAGAAGAATGACTTAATGTCGAGAACAATGATGTGCATGGTAGTTGCTGCTTTTCTTTTCACTTCGCATACTTTACTGTAGGGCAGGGGGGCTTCGTGTAAGAGATAAGCCCGCTAAATATACGTGTGGGCAACATTATCATGAATTTTCATGGAGGTTTAATATGAGAGAGGTAACCAGCGTCACTTTTTCTCTTCTGAAAGCCAATTATTAGCAAGATGTGAGAAAAGTCCTGGTATTGTTTTCTTTCTGTGACTCGACATACGGAAACCTAGAGGGTCTACGATGGGCACCGAATAGCTGTTTCGTCTTTGCCTTAGGTCTTCTGTAGGTGGTTCAGATGCTACTGGTCACAACAAACGTGGCTCAAGTATCTATACAGAATAGTTGTACAATAAATAGTAGACATATCAAGTATTTACCTTTTATTTTTTTACAAACATTTGTGTGGTGAACAGTAAACGGAGCGAACCTCATACTCGCGAAGATCTGCTGCTCCGTTGTGGGAACCGGTAACCTAAGCCCCGGGACTTGGAGTGGCGAACCACATAAGGCCCCGATAGGTTAGGTGTGGTATTAAACCGGACGACATCAATGCTGCCTACCACCAAAGGTTGGCAGGGGGGCTGGAACCTTGGATCACAGGATCCAAAGAACGCTAGTGACAGCGCCTAAACTACTACGCCACCACCACTGGCTGATTTGGAGTAGTTGGGCAAATCTGATCATCAAACATAAATAGATTCTAAACTCAATGGTGGTCGAAAAGAATAGTTATTCGCAAGTTAGCCTTTACCTATTCATTATTATTATTATTCATTTCCACACACGACTGATTCTGTGCCAAACAAATCATGGTACAATATTCCTTATAAAAAAAGAAAAACGTTCCATGATTTACAAATTTTTTTCCTATTCAGATGAATTTTAATCGGAACAACGCGATCTGAGTGTATGAACATTGATC